TTCATTCTGGAATTAGCTCTTGGGTGATTTTGGCCACACCTCCCTCTCCTGGCCTGGTTGAGAACTGCAGCCTTTCTGTGAAGTTGCTGCCCACCCTGAGCTGTGACTTATTGGTCCATTTCTCCCTTGAGGCCTCAAATCAAACCACAACTACTTTCTGTCTGTGGGTGGGAGCCAACGTTCTGCTTGGACATAAAAGCAAGGAGCTAAACTGTCTCCTTTTGCACAGTGACGTTCTGATAAGTTGGATTTTCACAGCAATCAAATTCCACCGGGATTGGGCAACCCTGGACCTGCAAGCAGGTATGGTTGGTGTCTGTACAGACAACACACCAAGGCAAATTAGAGCCAGGGTCACAGAACCAGAAAGGTTAGAGCTGGGATTTTTTTAAGATCACCTGGATATACGAACCCTCCTTTAACATATGAGAACTGAGGTCCAAAGATGGTAAAGTAGTAGTCGTCAACCTAAGCAACACATTGTGCTCACATATGACGCTTTACAGATGCCTGGGTCCAGACCCCATAAGACAGTCAATTCAACACGTCTGGCGTAGTTTCATGCCTTTGTGGGTGGCTGTGGAGTACTGTGTTAAATTGAGTGGCCGAGGGTCACAGTAGGGGCAGGGCCTGTTCAGGTCTACTGTCTTCTGGTCTGGGAAGATCCCGCGCGCAGCGGGGCGGCTGGGCCCGTGAGCCGTGGCCGCTGAGCCTGCGCGTCCGCAGCCTGTGCTCCGCGACGGGAGAGGCCACAACAGTGAGAGGCCCGCGTACCGCAAAAAACAAAACAAAACAAAACAAAAAACTTCCAAAACAGTGACTTGGCAGGCCCCAAAGGACTAAGGGGCAGTTAGGTTAGGTCCTGTAAAGTAGGACTGAGACAGGCTATTCATTATATTCTAGAGCATCCAACCTCACTGGATAGATGGCTGTGCCTTCATCTAGTGAACTGTCCTATCACATGCCAATCAGGACTACTTTTACTATCATGTCAGAACCCCACAATCTTGTAAACAAAGCACATGACATTAGACCAAATACCACTGTACTGAATATGGATTCACATTGTGCTACCACATGATTAGTTTTATAATCATCCTTCCTTCCAGAGTCTCTCCCAAGCAAATGGATCACAATAAGCACACCATATTATTAACATCTACATTACAGCCTGCCTCTTATTACTGAGTAATCTGGCAAATGGCATGCCTTGGTATCATGGGTGGGTTGTTACTCAGCTCGCCCACATTTCTAGAAAGCCCTATTGTCTATTATTCATATGTCACTTAAACACGTGAGCCAAGCAAACATGTTCTTCGTGTATTGCTCACTGCGCACCCTCAGCCAGTGCCAAATGGCGACAGTCCTGACCCTTGGAAATGACATGTTTGATGGGAGATGATTATTGGACTTTCAAATAAGTCAAGGTCAGACCCCTAGGAAAGGCAAAAACAAAACAAAACACACTCCTCATGCATGTTTCATATACATATTTATATATATTTCATGTACAAAGTTACATTCTGAACCCCAGGGATTCCATAATAGAAATAAATACTGAAATAACTACATTGCTAAATGAGCTTTTTGCTCATAGAAATGAAGCATCAGCCTCTAAAGAAACAGCAAGTGGGACCCTCTAGAACCCATTTTTAAGATTACAGAGGCAAGTAAAATTCTGAATAAAATGTCCTGGACAAAAAACAAATTCAGACCATAAAATGGCTAAAATATATTCAAGTGTTGAGAAGTGTATGACAAAATTAATAATAAAAACTTAATTTTTTTAAAAGAAAAGAAAAGACATTTAGTGTTACAAAATAGCATAACCCTGTTAGAAAAGCATTTATGATTTCCACATTTAATTCTCTCTTCTCTTCTCTTCCCTTAGTACAAACTGGGACCAAAACGAGTCCCTTTCTCAACGTGATCAATTAAGAAGAGCCCTAAATCTGGTTGAATCCTTTGGTAATGGTCATAATACTCACAAGGAAATAAATATTCAGTTCCACAGCATTTGCAAGACACACGTTCTTTAGGACAGTTAGTATTATGAGACAATTGTTTTGCTTTGTTTTGTCACTAAGGCAACCTATGTTAAAGGGTCCATTCTCACACGTAGGAAGACCTTTACAAGAAATGAACAACACAGAAACTGAGAGAATATAGTTTAACCTTTTCTATGCAAACACGCTTCATGTGAAAAGTTATGTGCTGCATATTTTGTACTCAAAACGTTTTACACTCTCAACAAGCTGCAGCTATTAAGATATTCATTCCTATTTTAAAAATTTAGATCCACACAAATTAGAAAAAAACACTCAAAACTGAGTTCCTAAAGAATATTACCCCTTTGCCTCATGGGGATTTTAACCTGCATTGAGCAGTGAGTATTACACTGATGTATATGATACTGTCATTTTTGTAAATCAGCAATGTTTGAACATCGGAAATTTCACATGGTTCAACATCACACATAACCCAAACATAACAGAATGAGAAAATTCTCAGGTATTCCTTATTTCTTCCAACAGGGGTAATTTTTTTTTTTACATGGAGAGACCAACCTGAGGTACTCAAGCCTCTTCTTTACCACTGATGTGGTAGCTATAGGCAATTACACCAACCACTCGCTGCTTACAAGAAGCTTACATTTTGGCATTTTCTTCCTAAGGCTACCACCTTGACCAAAGTGAACGCTACAAGAATATAAGCCTATTGTTGGGGAAAAGGTGGAAGTAAAGCAATCTGCAAAAAATATTTAACTGAAATTACAAACATAAAGACAAGCTCTTAAAACAAATTTTACAGACATTTTTGTACTCTCTAGTCCCTGAAGTTAACAGGGCCACAGATATCTGACAATTTTAGATAAAATAACTACACACCTATATTCCTTAAGTTAAAGCCGGTAAGCTTAAAAAGAGCAATAAACAACCATTGTAACATGTTTGCATTTTTCATCTTCAACTCCTGATTTCCTAAATTACAGTCAGTCATAGAAACATGTAAAAGACCAAACAGTACATGGGGTCTGATTCTGGGATGTTTACTTCCTGGGATTAAAATTCCCGAACACTTTGGTGTCTCTTTTTTGTGAATTTATACAACATTCCTCCAAAATATTTAATAATGTGGGGTTTTTTTTTAAGGTATTGCCAACAATGGCTCAGATTTATAAAATAAAATAAAATAAAATAAAAACATAGCTTATAAGCTATAGAAAAGTGACCTAAGTTTTGGTGCCCTGAAAAAAGTGACTAAGTAGCTCAAGTAAAAAAATTATCCTTTTAATACAGCTTTTACCAAAAGTTTTTTTTCTCCTAGCCATCTCAAGTGGCCACAATTGTACTGTGTACATAATGTGCTTATAGACACCTGTGGCCAAATGGATCCAAAGGCCTCCTCTGACGCATTAAATCCTGTGTACTTTATAATCTAGCCTAATCATCTATATGCTTAAAAGACACTGGTAGTACTTTTTACGAGTATCTTCCCATTACAGTTCAGAAAAAAAGTCCTTGGTCCTTAAGGATGCTTAGACAATCTGAGACTTCCGTTGTTTCCTTTTCCTGAAGCAGTCCTTCTGATGACTGGGGGGCCTTTGTCCAATAACTTCGTATTTTAAGACAGTGCTTAAACTTATATTTAGTTTTGCTTAAAGTAATGGATTAAGAATGATAAATCACAAATTTTCTAGAAGTCTGAGAGGGAAAAAAAACTGCAGCATAATGGTTTTTTAAAACTTATTAAACAAGAAAATCAATTATACCCGGACTCTATTTTTTAAATGGGCATTGTGAGTGAAAAGATTGTAATGTCAGCTTTTACTTTATGCTATTTTGGCTTTGTCTTCCTCTCCTTCAAAGTCTTCTTCATTGAGGATATGGCATTTTAATCTCAAAAGGGCACAAAAGCTTAAATACCATTTACATACAGAATATCAAGTACTGGCAGTTGTGCAGTTTTATACAGAACAAGAGAAAATACCGTTTCTGATTAAATCTCTCGTTCAGTTCATTAGGCCCTACTCCATCACCACTACAGCTTTACTCTTACTAACTGGTAAGAGCAGTCCAAGAACAACTGGTAAACAAGTGAATTTTTTTACACGGGAAAAAAACTCATCCAACCACCATCATCCATTGACACAAGAAATCCAAAACACAATTTCCTTAAAAAAAAAATCCTCCCATTGCTGAAGTGTATCTTCTAAGCCTTATAAATAATAAACCTTTCAAACATGTCAGTATGAAAATGAGTGAGACTAGTCTCAAAAACAAACAAACAAGCAAACAAAAAAACCAGACTATTCAGAGAAGCAGGCCCCATAAACTTTAGAGCTCTAATAAGTCAGAAACAAGAAACTTTTATTTAAATAGTGTAGTCTTAATTTCTTTAATATAAAATCCCCCCCCACAAAATCTGATGAAAACAAAGTTTTATATACCATATAAACAAGATTTGTCAGATTTGAAAGTGAAAGTTAAAGTAATTTACAGTTAGCTTTTAGCCCTCTCGGGACATTTAGATAAATCCTGATAATCTACCTGATATTAGTTTGTGTCGATTTTATAATACATTGGGGAAAACTTTACTATTGTACTTAATGGTACAGTTTCATTTATCAAGTGTTTCCATTAATTTCATTATGAGTGATAGCTAAAAAGTGACCCCATCAAATCAAGTAAGTGACGTTAGCTGTGGCAGAGTAAACCACAACTGGATTGCTTTCTAAAATTCACCAGTTTGCAGAAAGTAAACATTCTTTGATTTGTTCATAATATACTGAAATTGCCTATAACACTGGTGCAGTAAAACAGCTAGTTCCTGTACTGTTACAGTAGGACAGATTTTATAGCATAGTTAACAGAAAAAAAAATGCTCATACATTATGTGGTGAAACTTATTTCACAAAGAGAGCATTAAATAAAGGGAAAAAGGGAAAATAAACCATGCAGAAGAGAGGGCTTCCCAGTCGCCACCTGTTTCCTATGGGTTCACTCACTACCATACATCACTTGCCACACTATCAAGTGACTCCTTTCCGCTTTGGCGACAGAAGGTTCGAGTGGAAGATCCTCTCCCAGAAGCTCTGATTCTCCACCTTCATCACCTGGTGGATGAAACGGAGACTCCGGTTAAGCATTTTGAAGATACAGGCTGATGCACATGAGACTCATGGTTAGTCCACGAGCAGCATGCATAAAACTTGTCTGACGCCCATTTCAGAGAACACAGTAAAAGAAATGCCATGCGTCACAATCTTCACTGCCTAACTTCTGAGAAAGACTACTGAGATCAATTTCTCATAGTTAAAATATTACAGGATATGAAAAAGGAAATGGAACAAAAAAAAAGATCAAGTTCAATTTTTAAAAAGTATACTTACCATTAAAATCAACCTATGCTTTAAGACAAGTTCTGCTTTTCAGGCTGGATTACCTAGAGATACTGACAAACCTGGTTAAGCAATTTTTATGTTATTTTTAAGATCCAAAATGGAAGAAAGTTTTAGTGGAAATGAAAAGACCACATAAAGGTTTTCCTGACACACTCTTTAGTATGGTTCAGACTACCATCAGACTGCAATCGAAGAAAAAGTTCCAAATCAGCCAGCGGAGTGAAGGCCATCTCTCTCTATAAAGGAATTCTGCACCAACAGTCAGTTCACTTTGAAGTGACTCCATTCCTACTGACATCACCATTCCTAACCTTGACATTAAAAGCCCTGCCTTAAAAATGTGTCAACAAGCCTTCTGCATCAGAAATTTTAGTTTATACTAATTACATGTGGCACACTGTCATTCATATGACCCTAAATTTTATATTCTTTTATTTTTTTTAACAGAATTAAAACTAAAGCATTAGTCACCAGTCTACAACATTATATTCTCTAAGGCCTTACGTTTAGAAACTTTTTCAATCATTGTGATTTTAGGCCAGTCCAAAAGGTTCCTTTATTTATAGCAAATAAATAAATTTACATCACAGTGCTTCACAGTTTACAAAGCACTACACTTTCCACAAACATCAATTCCCTGTGTTTTCTTTGAAACCTCTCTGGCCATTCCTCCTCAGACCCCTTCATAAGCTCTAATGATTCTTTAAACGCAGTATTAAAACAGGGCTCTATCCTAGAACCTTTTCTTCTGGCCCCTACATATTCTCCTTGGGTGAACTCATCAACCCTTGTGACTTTTAGTACCACTGCATGTCAGTAGTCCTCATATTCCTCCCTCCTGAGATATGAAACCCTTACACCCAAAAGGTGTAAAAAAGACATTTTCCACCTAGATAACTCCCAACTTCCACGCACTCCAAGGTCAACATGTCCAACACAGAACTCCTCATTCCACTCCCTCCAGATCTGCTGCTTCTGTTCTGATAGTCATTAACTCTAAGTAAATGGATCACTACCTCTTCCTTCACATTCTGTTAGTTACCAATTCCCCATCACAGTGCTAGTCTACTCCTATTGTTTGTACCTTACTCATTTACTTTTTCCTAACCCATTCCCTACCTCTAGTCTTAGACCTCCAATCCATTTACACACACATATAATCATATTGCTCTTCTATTTAAAGTCCTCCAATAATTTTCCTTTGCTCTAAAGTGCAAACTCCTTAATTAGGTATATAAAGGCCTTCCATGATCCAGCCCCTCCCTCCATTTCTAGATTTATCTCTGGTCAAATTTATATTTGCTTCTACTCCATGTTCCAGTCATTTTTAAGTAGTTTTTCTTCAACTAAGGTGGTTTCACATTTCTAAGCCTTGGTCAAGCTATCTCTTACCTTGGGATGCCAGTCTCCCCAGCCTTCCCCATACCATCCCCACCCCAATTCTTCAGACTCATGTTCTTCAGTACTGAGTCATCTCAAGCATCATTTCTTGACTTCCTGCTTCCCCTACCCCTAGGAAAAACTGACTACTCCCCATCAGAACATCTGTAACACTGTAATTTATTAACATGTTTCTATCTCTGTATTGTTCTATAATTTACTGGAGGGAGACTTTGTCTGATTTGTTTTTGTATCTCATGCTCAAGGCTAACAGGTACACAGTAGCTAATTATTGTTTATAAGGTGAGAAAATGAACAAATGAAATGAATTTGGTTACAAACAACACTTTATGAAGTATTTTTATTTCTCCACTTTGCAGGTGAGGAAACTGAGGTTCTGGGAGGTTGAATGATTTCCCCAAGGCCTTCTGACTCCATATGCTCTTCACATATACCTCAACATACGACCAAACCCTGCTGTTTTCTAATGCTCCTTCAAATAAACACACCTTGGTATAAAAAGGAAAAAAAAAAAAAATCATGAAAGTAGGAAAAAAAAGAAATATAAAATCATTTTCCAAGTAAAGCGTTCCAAGAAAACCTCTTAGAAATCACGTATCTGAGTTTCTTGCTTACTGTGGGTGAAAATCCACATCACGGAACAGTGGAAACAAAGCCCCCAGAAGCAATGACCTACCCATTCGGAAGTCAATGTAGCCCTCTCCTCCACTGACGACAAGCATAGACTTCAAGGGTGTCTGGCTGCCGGGCTCCTGTGCAGATGGCCCTGCTCTGTCAACTGTTAGATCTGTGCCACTGCTGCCACTTTGTGGGCTGATGACTTGACCTATTTATACAGGAACAGAAGTGAATATTACTTATCAAGGATTGGGGTGGGAGAGACTCATTTTTTCTGAATATTTTCAGAAAGCTGAACAAGGTAAGTACATTCTAATACAGCCAAAGTACTAGGGATGTTAGAAGCCTCTGCATGATCAGAAAACAGCTATAAAGGTCATGAAAGCCCAATTTGAAATCCAAGTAAAGCTATTTTGTACTAAAACAGAAATAGGTCCAGAATCCAGTATGAAATCTGTATATGGCTCGGCTGGTCTTAGCTGCCTGCTTCAGACTATTGTAATATATACACTGTTTCATCTGAGGGGTAGTGGAAAGCTCTCTCCCCTGGAAAGGGTACATGTGTGTTTATGTAAGAGACAGAAAAGTCTTCAGCTTAAGCCTTATGAATTTGGATATTCATAATTAATATTTGAATTGATTTCAAATCCATGGTTTCCTCATATTTAAGAAAAGTACATCTTATTTTTAATTTAGATTATGCAAATAAAATTACTGGGTAATGTGTAATTTGTTCTAACATTTAAGTTCTAATGTAGAATCTTTAAGCATGAAATCATAGAGAGAAACCCTGAAATATCATTGACACTATAACCTCTATGAGTGTGAGGTATTTTTCCTTGCCAGGTCTGCTGTCCTTTGGTCGAACTACACAGACCACGCCTTTAGGTGATAACAGGACAGAGTCCCATGATGTGAAACACTTTATAAACAATTTATGTTGGACATGGATAGGACAGTTTGATTTATTTTCACAGTGCCTCATTCATGCATTATTCAATTATACTCCAGAAGAAATCAAGCCTGCTAGAGATAACTTCTGTTAGCGGACTAGTTAGTTTTGCCACAGAAGCAAGAGCACAGTGGTATGATATTAAGGCCATCCTGACTGGTTTAATCCTTAGGGCCAACTGGCCAACAAACAACAATGTTGCCAATTCCACTTCCAGATTTATACCCAACAGAAAAGTCTCTCCCATATGCACAAGAAGGTCTACTGCAGTAGTTTTTTAATAGTGGAGGGAAAACAGAGAAAAAGCCTAGAAGTTGACCTATAGGAGAATGGATAAAAGGTAGCATATTTATTCAGATATTAGAATACCACAGTTAAATGAATGAACTAGATTTTTATGCATAAATATTAACAAATCTCAAAAATGAGAAATAATTTGCAGAATAACATATATGTAACATAAGACTTAAAAATACAAAAAATACTATATACTGTTTATAGATATGTTCCAATGTAGTAAAAATACAAAAACATGGGCAGAAGGATACATTTCAACTTCAGGATAGTGGTTATAGATGGACAGGAAAGAAGGAAGGGAAGGGGATTAGAGAAATATAAAGGAGACTCAAAGGGGACTCTATGGTATTATTATTTTTTTTTTTAAAAAAAAAGCAAGAAAAGGAACTTCCCTGGTGGTCCAGTGGTTAAGAATCCGTCTTGCAATGCAGGGGACGCTGGTTCGATCCCTGGTCGGGGAACTAAGATCCCACATGCCGCAGGGCATGTGCCCATGTGACACAACTACTGAGCCTGCACGCCACAACTACAGAGCCTACATGCTCTGAAGCCCCTGCGCCACAAATACACAGCCCACACAATCTGGGGCCTGCATGTCACAACTAGAGAGCACGCACGCCACAACTACAGAGAAGCCTGCACATTGCAACAAGAGCCCATGAGCCGCAACAAAAGATCCCACATACCACAACTAAGACCCAATGCAGCGAAAAAATAAATTAAAAAAAAAATCCATTTCTAGAAGTTTATTCTGAGGAAATAACTATACAAAAATAGACATGTACATTTCAAGAAGTTCATTACCATGTTGTTAAGAATACTGAATAACTGGTTAGGGTACCATGTGCCAACCCTATACTATATACATTTAATCATTTAATCTTTGGAACATCCTTGGGAAAAATTATAGTGGCTAATTTTATGTGTCAAATGTCTTGGCTCTGGTGCTGAGACATTTGCTCTAACTCTAGTCTAGGTATTTTTTAGAAATAATGAACATTTAAATCAGTGGACTTTGAGTAAAGCAGATTACTCTCCATAATGTGGGTGGGCCAATCAGCTGAAGGCCTTAAGAGAAAAAGATAGGTCCCTCAAGGAAAAGGGAATTCTGCCTCAGGGCTGCATTCACACTTGAGCTGCAAACATCAGCTCTTTCCTAGGCCTCCAGCCTGCCAGCCTTCTCTGCAGATTTCAGACTTGCCAGCCCCCATAATCACATGAACCAATTCCTTAAATTAAATCAATCTCTCTCTCCCTCCCTCCCTCTCTTTGCACTCGCTCGCTCGCTCTCATACACACACACACACACACACACACACACACACACGAACGCACACACGCACGCGCACATACCCTATTGGTTCTGTTCCTCGGCAGAACCCCGACTAATACACTGAGATACCACCATGTCCAACATCACACAGTTGGTGTGGCAAAGCCAGATTTGAACTTTGTCAAACTCCTAAACTTGCCTCTTACAGGGAAAATAAATCCAAAACATAGGTCCTGCTTACAGATGATCAGTAACATCACTTTAGTATTCTCAAGGGACAGAACATTTTTCACTGGACGTCATCACTGCCACCTTTCATCTGGATGCTGCTTTATAGTTCCCAAAGCCCTTCCATTAATCTTTACAACAAATGAGGCTGGCAGAGCAAATATTAATCACATCCACTTAGGAAATAAAGAAATGAGTATCAGAGGTTAAGCAATCTGCTCAAGACAACAAGGCAAGTGGTAAAGGCCCAGAACCCCAGACTCCTGCTGTTTCTTGCCACAGCGCTAAAGGTATCAGAGCACATTTTCCATCTCTTCCTGAATATAGCCTTGATGATAGGGACTTCTTTCTAGAAATCTCCTTTATGAGGCCAAAACCATTTTCGGCATTCTGCAGTGACAAAATAATACCATTGCTTTTCAAAAGTAAAGAAGTCTAAAATCAAGTTTGTTTTTGGGATACAGGAAGAGATTCCAAAATAGCTTCTATCAAGTATCTCTATAGCACTTTATTCATACCTCCGTTACAGAACATTTCATGCGTTATACCAGAGTTATCCGTCATTTCAGTACTTAGTATTAGACTAGGCAGAGGAACCAAGGGACAGACAATTACAGTTGGCCCCTGAATAATGCAGGGGTTGGGGCACTGACCCTCTGCGCAGTCAAAAATCTGAGTGAAATTAATAGTCACCCCTCCATATTCATGGTTCCTCTGTGTCCACAATCTGCATCCAAAGATTCAACCAACCATGGATCATGTAGTACTGTAGTGTTCACTACTGAAAAAAATCTGTGTATAAGTGGATCAGTGCAGTTCAAATGAACATTGTTCAACAGTCAATTGGACATACAACTTCTCAGTAGAATTATCTAACTCACCTGGGACTGCCACAAAGAATTTCACAGCATCCCTGTGCCCATGGAAGCAAAGCTGTGCATGTGCCATTGAACAATAGGGTATAAATGTCCCTGGTGTCACTTTATCACTGTTTTCATCACCATATACACGGATGACACTTCCAGGACGATTTCCTGATGCTCCTGAGGTTTTATTTGCTGCAACAGAAAACCAAACACCAAATATTTTCCCCTAGAAAACAGTCATGATGCAAGAGATTACTGGTTAATCCTTATGATATTATCTAAAAGCTACAGCCAGTTGAGATAAAACAAGGGCAGCAATGCCAACTCAAGACAAAGCTGGAAAAAAAAAAGATATACAGCATGCTAGTTATTTTTAAGTTTCTCAGTAAATGGAGTAGGGGATTTTGCCAGTCTAGCAATAGTTAAGTTTACTTTTTAAACACATCTATTAATTTAAAAAAATCATTTTAGTTAATAAAAGAAAAGATTTCTTAGGTATTTCTGTTTTGTTTTTTAATCCTCATTTTAGAAAACTAACCGGTTATATAGCTTAAAGTAAATAGGTATATTTTTTAGCAGAAGTTTTATAGTTTATCTTTTGATTTTTTTTTCTCCCTTGTGGTAAGAATATCTCCCTTGAGGGGTAGTAAAAAGTTGCGTTTAAAAGGATCCATCCAGTACAATACAGTAGCTTTTATTTACACCAGACTGATGGTTTGCTGAATTATTTTAGAATGACCAGACTCACAAAACATCCCCATTCCATGGACCAGTAAGTAAATGAAAGAAACATGATTGGTAACAGGAGTAAACAATGTAGATTAATGACAGTTTTCAGAGATGTTTCATGTTTTTATTGGAGGGAAAACAAAGTCTGAAAGAAAGGTCAGCTGCAACAAAAGATGATAAATAGACTAAGCTGCTGAGCAGTAGCTTGGTGGCCATGTAACAAACATTAAAAAAAAACGAAAACAAAAAACACCTGTTGCAATGCAGTGACTGCAAGTGGATGACATTTAGGAACATTCAAGAGGGTATCTAGAGACGTGAGAACGGCCTCACGGTGGCCATGAGAAGCCAGAAAGAAGAGTGTGGTTCAGGATCTGCACTTACCCCTCAGCCCCAGTAAACGTCCCTGGTGGAGGATTACGGCTAAAGTGAGAAAGGAGGAAAGGGGACATGGAGAGGTGCATGACAGGGAGGAGAAGGATTACTATGAGATGCCACTCTCAGCGTCTTCTATCTGGCAACTCAGGAGCTCAAAACTCCTAACTAAATTAACAAAATCCAGCTTGGTATAATACCAAGAAACACACAAAGTTCTTACCAAAGCCTCTAAAGAATATCTCTGCTCGAAAAGGACAATTTATTTACTGTGATTTTGCTTTTCTTAATTATAAAGCAATTTAAGTGAATGAGAACTTACTGGGGAACATTTTCTAAATGCTAATATTTCCCCCTTTTCTTTAAGAAATCCCGTGCAAGTAACTATGCTAAAATGGAACTCTCGCCTGTATAGAACTGAAATGAACTCTGGGGATCCTGGAATCTCTTAAGATATAAGAAGTGATCTAAACATGTAGATTTATAAGTAGTTGTAGAAAATACAGCTGGGATTAAGAATTTAGGTTCTTTAAATTGGTGGTCCGGTGGTTAGGGCTCCTTTCTTCCACTGCCAGGGGCACGGGTTCTCTGCCTGGCTGGGGAACTAAAATCCCACAAGCCTTGCGGTGTGGCCAAAAAAAAAAAAAGAATTTAGGTTCTTTAAAGGCTCCAGATATACCACCATCCAGTCTTCCTCCTTTCCCCTGAAAATTCTGAGGTGTTTATTTATTGACTTATTTTATGGACTTATGGCACTTTTTTCTTTTCAAATCATTCCCTGCCCATGAATTCTGCAACACGAAAACACTTGTTTAATGAATGATCAATGTAATGGAACATAATATGAAAAACATAAAATGCACATTTTGTTCACAAAAATAATAATAATGAGGCAAATATAAAAAACATACAATGTACATATTGTTCACATTCTTTTCAAACAGAGGTAGATGTCTTGTCTCCAATGTCAGGAAGGATTTGCTGACCTCCTAAGAAACTTCTCCCACAACTCTTAAGCCAAATGGAATATCCTAAACTGACTGCCACAGAGATATGGAAAACTAGGATATTAGATAGTTAGGTAATGTTTCTGGATACTAGTACAATAAAGCTGAAAGAAAAAATGGACATCAACCATTATTTGAGATGAAACAGGACCATGATTCCTGAAATGAGAAAGAGTTTCTCACAATGAAAAACTTTTAACTGTAAATATTGGTCCTGATATACTTGCTAGAGTCTATAAATTTCATAGAAAGAGTGAAGGAACAATAGTTAGATCTCTGCCATCAGTTTGACTTTCTGAATTACCACAGATTTGCCAATAACTAAACAATTCCTTCTACCTGAATTCCAGACAAGGCTGTTCCCCACAACTCTCCTGTGACAGTTACCTAAAAACGTACTTACTTTCTGTCAATGGGATGGAGATAATGACACCGTTTCCTGTTCCTACCCACAAACGATTGCAAGACACCATAAGAGCTGTGATCCTCACAAAAGAGAAGCCCAGTTTTCCAGTACCTGTATGACGGGAGAGAAGACATTTTGTTGAAAAACTAGAGCAGATGATGTTTTAGGTTCCAAGTCCCTAAGAGTAGCTGGACTAACATAGCAGAGAGGAAATGTGACCAGAGCTAGTTGGATGTTTCCTGAAGAAGATGCACATCAATCAAGGCGAACGCCCATCTGGCTTTATCATCTATCTGACAATTCATGGTTAATGGGAAAAAAAAACTCTAAAAGTGGCTGCCATTACATTATCATTCAGAAGGAAGATGCTGTGGATCAGGAAATATGATACAGGATTTACTTAAGGAGCTGCAAAACCAAACCAAACAAACCAAAACACAAAACAAAACAAGAAAACCTCAACAAAAACAGTTTACCAGATTGGGGAAATTAAATGTCCTTCCATTTTATAAACTGACAGAGTTCTTGCTTGCCTTAATTTTCTTTTCACAGGTAAGAAACAGTCTTTGCTAACAAAACCTATATTCTTTCCCTGTTTATATATTTGAGTCTAAAGCAGTTTAGAAATTTTAGGATACCATATGCATGTAATTTAGGAAGAATAAATGCACTTTTTTATTTCAAGAGAATTTTTAAACTGACCTTATTTTCAAGGATTTGAGAGGCAAAATTATTAAACAGATAATACATTTAAGACAAACAGCATTTAGTTACTCATAAGTTCTACTTACTAGAAATCAGAGTATGATCATAGAATCACAGTGTTAGAAGGAACCTTAAATAGTCTAAGCTAGAGATCTTTAACTTATGGGCAAAGTATACTCCTGAAATTAGTTTATGTCTATGTGTATATATGGCTGATTCAAGGGAGAGGGCACATCAGGTTTCCTGAGGGCGACGACTCTAAAAAAGTTAAAAACCACTGATGCAGTTCAACCTCTCTTCATAAAGAAATCATTTGTGACATCCCTAATAGTCATACAGCACTGGCCTGGGATGCTAAGGATACTGCAAGGAACAAACCAAAGATAGTCCCTGCCCTTCATGAAGATTAAGTTCTGTGGGGGAGAGAGACAGTATGTATGATACTGGTACAACCACAGTAATGATAAGCCCATGAAGAAAAAGTATAAGAGGTCCTAAATAAAACTGGGAGATCAGGAAAGGTCTCTTCTGGATGTGACACATAAGCTATGCCCTGAAAGCCAAGTAAAAAGGGACTAAGAAAAACTTCTCAGACAGAGGATACAGCACATGTGAGGGCCTTGCAATGGGAAAGAACTTGTTGAGTTTAGGTCAGTGTGGGCAGAACAGAGTGAGCAAGGAGAGAGGTCCAGACCATTTAAGTTCTTCTGATAATGTCACAAAATGTCATCTCACCTAAAGACAAGAATATTCTGAAAGTGGCTGGCATTACATAAGTGGAGGTATGTCACAGTGATATCTGCACACTGGTTACTATGCAGAAAACTGACTGGAGTGGAGATAGGAAGACCAGTGAAGAGGCTCATAGTCGTCTGGGGAGGAAAGAATGGTGACCTGGCCTGTGGGAATAGAGGTAGATATAAAGATGTAACTAATTTAAGGGAATTCCCTGGTAGTCCAGTGGTTAGGACTCGGCAGTTTCATTGCCAGGGCCTGGGTTCAATATCTGGTTGGGGAACAAAGATCCCGAAAGCTGCATGGCGTGGTCAAAACAAAACAAAAGATGTAACTGATTTAAGATATTCTGGGGGAAGA